GATTTTTTTTTATAAGCATTTAAAGTTGGAATTTTGACAAAATTTATCAAAATCTCGAAAATAATCAATCGTTGGAATTAAAAAATTATAAAATGTTCAGTTTTATAACTAAGAGTTGAAAATTTAAAACAAAGATTCTCTTAAATAATTCATACTGTAACCAAAAAATCTAAAAAATATATAAACACACTTATTTTTTACAGACATTTTAATTTCAAATTTGGACGAAATTACATATTAAAAAACCTAGAATAACTATTTTAGTTATTTTGTTGTGATTGAATAATATTATTCGTGGGTACTTGAAACTTCTAAAGTGTACTATTATATATCTATGATAGTATCACGGTTTTTGTTGATGTATAATGCGTTATAAGTATCTAATGGATATTGTGATATGATTAATTTGGAATTTATTATAGGTACCTATTATAGGTCAATTTTTTGTTTAATACCATAGATATGTATATAATATGCCTTATACATAGACTGACATACCATCACCGCTCAGAATCGTTTTTCTTATACAATGATATTATATCATTGAATTCAAATTTAATACCATCCATTATACAGTGACCCACTTGTAACCTACTGTACAGCAGAGCGACACCCACTTGCCCACCTTTTTTTTGGTCGAATTTTTAATGCCATGATTTTCACATAATCATATCTAGAGATTTTAGAAGTTTTGTATTTTTGTATATTTTCTTCAATGAATTTAATATTTTTTTCGTTGACTGATCTATTTTTTTTAGGTATTTGATTAGAAGTTTGTTTTAAAATTTTTGTGTCTATTTGAATTTTTTTTAATATTTCTAAGAAGGAATATATGTCCGGATGTGGGGTTCGTAAGCCGTACAAGTTTTGTTTACACAGCACCATCGTTTTACATCGCCATTCAACATTTTATGAAATCTCATTTTATATCCATCAATAATTTTAAGTTCCTTACCGTGTTGGCTGATCATACTCGACGGCAACGACATCGACATCTTTCAAGTATATAATAGTATGTAATATTATGTAATAAAATGAATTAATGTAAAATGTTAATTAAATATATTTAAATAAAACGGTTAGCTGCATACACATAACTACACATCACTAAACATACTGCACGTGGTTGTCAAAGACTTGTTACGAATAGTAGGCTATATTATCCATAAACTGCATAAAGATAAATAATGTTAGCAATAATATCGCGGACGCACACGGGATATACCAATATAATTTGTGATATTATCGCGGACGCAGTTGGGCTATTAAAAAGGTACGATATGATAAACGGGACGCACTCGGGAGTTGCCCGAGTCCGACTCGCACTTGGCCTGCTTTTTGAACTTTAAATGCTTATAAAAAAAAACTGTGACTAAAGATTTTTAATATTTTTCAAATGCCATTGTAGTAATATATTAGAAGCCCTTTATTACATTTTCAAGCTTTTTTAACCAACAAATAAAATTCTATTGATATTTTTAGAATAAAAAAAAAAAAAAAATGGAAAATGAAAATGCCCCTAAACAGTTCAAAACAAATCATAATATTTAAAAAATTTTATCGTGTATAGAAAATTCAAATATAAACAACCAGTGAAAATTTCATGTATATACGTTCATTTGTTTTAGAGTTCCACCAAAAACCAAAATCGATTTTTTGGAAAACAGATTTTGCGTAAAAATTCCCGTTATTCCTTAACTTTTATGTGTTTAATATACAATGAACATGAGACAAAGTTCAAACATTTTTACGCAGAAGAGGCCATCGAATTGATGGATATATTACCCAAAAAATTGGCCCATATCCTAGTAAATAAACAATATTTAAATGATGAATGGCAGTAGGTTTATTCATTAATGATTAGCAATAACAATTTTTAAGCGAACAAGAACTGCTACTAGAAGAAGCTGCTGAAATTAATATTTAATATTTTTTATCAAAACTTATTATCTTTTTACATAAATTTATCATTATTTTAAGTCAAATTATTACTATCATTTTTAAATATGACTTGTACTAATTTAATCTAGCATTAAATTACTGTGACTGTAATTAATAACTAACCAATTGACAGTGTTGTAAAGTACAAAATCAAATTAACATAATCCACAAAAATGTACAATATGTACCATAATTTAAACTAATATTACCATTAAATACATTTATAGGATTATTGCATAGCTCATTATTAAAGACAGGATTTATATGTTTTTACATATCGTTACTGTGTCTATGCAGTCTTATGAGAGTACAAAATGTGGACAGTTCGATTGATTATTTTTGCATATTTTAAAACATTTTAAGAGAATATAATGAGAATATATTTTGAAAGTTCTTAAGAGATTATTAGCATCATATTTTAGGTAGGTATTTTAAGAGAATATAAATCCAGTCTTTATTTATTATATTAATTAGATGATGATTTTAGTTATTATTGATAATTTTAGTATTAGGTATGGCTAATTAGCAATATTTTCAATTTTGTATTATTGTTATAGATTTAATCAATTATTTATATATATTTTTCCAACTCAATACTCCCCCTTTAGTGTTGTTTGAAGTTTTGCAATTTCTAGTTGAAATCTTTGTCTTGTATTCCCCAATTCCTGCTTAAGTTGGCTTTCAATTTTAGATTCTGAGTGGAACGATGAATGTATATTGATTTTACAATGATGTGTGTTTTTATTTTTTATTTTTTTTTTGTGTCTGTCTTCACCTTTTAGGACAGTAAAAGTGATTGGATTTCTTCAACATTATCTTTCCCGATAGAAAAGTGAATCTAGTTTGTACTTTGGGGGTCAAAAGTAAAAATTTCCCAGTAGTTTTCAAAAGTGCAGTGAAACACAAAAGAAAAATTAAGGAAAAACGGGAAGTTTTACGCAAAATCTGTTTTCGAGAAAATCGATTTTGGTTTTTGGTGTAACTTTAAAACAAATAACCGTAGATAAGTGAAATTTTCACTAGTTGTTTATATTCGCATTTTCTATACACGATAATATTTTCAAAATATTTTGATTCATTTTGAACTGTTTAGGGACATTTTCATTTTTCATTTTTTTTTTGTTTTTTTTCGAGAAATATCAATAAAAATTTATTAGTTGGTTAAAAAAACTTGAAAATTTAATAGAAGGCTCCTAGTATATTGTTTCAAAGGCAGATGAAAAATATTAAAAATCCTTAGTCACAGTTTTTTTTTATAAGCATTTAAAGTCCAAAAATTGACAAAATCACGAAAATTAACAAATTATTTTGAGTTAAGAGGATGTCAGCCCACTATTTGTTTTCACTCTCTGATCCACGCACAACATAGACAAAACACATTTACGCATAAACATTTTTTCTATGTTTTTAAGTAATCTTAGAGTAAAATCACCCATTACAAAAAAGATAGAAAATAATATTTTTGAGGGAATGTCATATCGATTTGTCTAAATATTGTCTCAAAACAATTTAAACATCATTTTAATGTACAACTTTTTTTGTTTATTTTAAAAGTCGAATACAAAGTCAAATAACAATAAAATATAAAATCGATATGACATTCCCTCAAAAATATTATTCTCTATCTTTTTTGTAATAGGTAATTTTACTCTAAGATTACTTAAAACATAGAAAAAATGATTCTGCGTTCATGCGTTTTGTCTATGCTGCGCGTGGGCCAGAGAGAGAAAACAAATAGTGCGCTGACATCCTCTTAAGAATTCGTAAAGATTGTTCTTTTTAAATCTAAGATTTGAAAATGTAATACAAGATTACTCATAAGTTTGTCTACCTTTATTAATAAAAAAATCTCTAAAACAAATGAATGTATATACATGAAATTTTCACTGGTTGTTTATATTTGAATTTTCTATACACGATAAAATTTTAAAAATATTATGATTTGTTTTGAACTGTTTAGGGGCATTTTCATTTTCCATTTTTATTTTGTTTTTATTCTAAAAATATCAATAGAATTTTATTTGTTGGTTAAAAACGCTTGAAAATTTAATAAAGGGCTTCTAGTATATTGCTACAATGGCATTTGAAAAATATTAAAAATCTTTAGTCACAGTTTTTTTTTATAAGTATTTAAAGTTCAAAAAGCAGGACAAGTGCGAGTCGGACTCGCCCACAAAGGTTCCGTACCATTATCTAATGTCTGTTGTCATTTGCGGGGTGGGAAAAAAATTCAGGCCAGGTTAATACATTTCCTCCAGGCCATTCAATATTTTCATCTCTTATTTATTTATGTAATGTATTTTGTATTTAAATTTATATAGGTAAATAACAAATATAAGAAAAATGATTATTAATTAAATTGATAATATGATTTCGTTTTCGTATATAGATAAATATACTTTTCACATTAATCCACATTTTCAAATGGCCATTTAGTTTCCAGGCCAATATAAAAAAAAATAAAAATAAAAAACACACATCATTGTTAAATCGATACATTCATCGCTCCGCTCAAAATCTAAAATGTATTATGACAACTGTCAACTAGCATTTACAGAAAAATATATTCTATTAAATTTTATAAATATTTTTTTAAAAAAACTCGGAATACCTATATGAAAACATAATTTTATATGTATTATACAAGGTTTCCAAGCATTAAGCATTAAATTATGGGACAAGCACGTTATTTTTTTTACGTTGGTCACACTTTAAATGCCAAAATTATTGTATCTCTATCCTTATCAATTTTCTGACAACTACCCCGTATCCGACTAATTAGTCTATCTTTATTCTTTAATCGTGGTCGTGGTTTTAACTTAGTGTCTTGTTTCGTGTTTATCTATCACAGATTCTCATGGATTTAACTTTTAAATAGGTTTAGGGATTTACCGGTTTTAACTTGTCTTCTAATCATTCATCATTGTGACATCGGTCGACGGATATTGATTTAGAAAATTGTTTATAGTTAATATTTTGTTTTGAGATTGATTACAAGTTTACAACTACAATTATTGTTCTGTGCAACTTCTGTACTTAACTAATAACAGTCAAAAGGTATGTCGTTTGTTCGTGTTAAAAGACGTCACAACGAAGATCCGTTCAACTCAATCGTCGTATCGCACAAGAAATTAAAAACTATCGGTACAGAGTTCAGTAGAGATTGTGTGTTTCAATTTGCTGCAACTTTAAAAGACGAAGTGATTTTCATACCATAATATAATTGTTAGATAACTATAAGACTCATACCTACTTAGTTCCTATGTAGTAATATTAATTTGACAGTTTAATATTTTATCTTTAATTCTATTCAATTCAAATTAACTTTTAGAATGAAAACTTATCCCAAATATTGAAAGAGGTTCGAGAAGAAAGATCTGTAAAAGAGCTAACAAAGAAGAACAAAAACAAAAACACTAATGATGTAGTTGAACATTCCAAAGCAGAACGTTTGAAGGTTTGTCTTAAATTATAATTATAATTTATTAGTCCTGAAATCATAAAGTAGGTGATCTACTCGGTAAAAGCAATTATAAATATAAATACCTAGATCTACCTATATTTTTTCACAAGTCCATCTTAGTTAAGAATGTTTTAAACTATAATTACATTTAAGATTCTGTAGGTGATCCTTAATTTTACCTGAGATTGACTTAATTTTTTAAATACAGTAGCTTATAATTGCTTTTAAACTAATAATAATAATGTATTTCACTCATATCCTGTGCTAAGATTAGTAGGAGTGAGGGACAAGACAATTATTTACTTTTTGTATCTTAAAGATTGTGCCTACTTTTTAAAACATATTTAATTTAAATATATGTTATGAACGGTAGACAATACTTATTAATTATTTGATAGTTAATATATTCAGTACTTTAAATTAAATTAAATTTGTTTAGCTAGTTAATACTCTCAGAGCTGTTAAACAAGACACAGTACCCATTGAAGAAATAGATGGAAAGAATTCAGAAATAAAAGTTGTTGATTTTGTTAAGCAAGTAGAAAATAATGGCAAGCCCTTAATAGATGAAGGAATTTCAATTGACTATGTATACGACTTGTATTATGCATCCAATAATGATAATAAATCAATTGATATTCAAGATATTGATAGGTACCATTATTAATTACATTTTACCATAGATTATACATAGTATAATATGTATAGTCAATGATTTTACCCACTTTAAGAACATTTAAAATTGTATATATTTTATTTTCAGTGTACATGGATTAGATTCAGACAATTTTTACAATATTTGCCGAAATATTGATAGCTCTGATAATGATTCCTCACACTGTGAAGATGATGATGATTCCAATGATGAAGGGAATTGGAGAAACGATTATCCTGACGAAGATGAAATGGATAACGAGTAATTTTATATTTAAAATACATAATAGTTGGTTTTAACCTTAGGAAGTTGTACGAGTACAATGGGGTTATTATTTTCAAAAGTCACTTTTTATGGTATATGGACAATTGGTCGCAGGATAAAATTTCCGTAAGTGGATAATTCGTCCTCGGCCAATAATTTTCCTTGAGACAATCAAAATTTTTAAGTAACATTTAACTAAATACTACTTACAAACATAGTGTATCAGTTTTTTTTTTTTTTTCAATCCTAAGATCATATACAATGAATAGAGCCATACGAACTATTTGTGAAGCCAACATCACTGTAGGACCTCGGTGATATGCGCATGCGTGTGGTCTCTAATCATTAATGTTTGGCGCAGAGTGCAGACGCGCAGTTAAGATAAACAAGACGTAACAACACTAACAACTATAAAATATGTTTTTTAAGTTTCTTCAATTGTTATTTCTTTTTTGTTATAACTGTTATTAGACCTACATAATACTATTATGTATTATATAAAATATATTACTTTAGTGTATTAAGATTAACTATTAACAACTAACATTATGTACTTATGCATAGTCATAAATATAAAATAATAATAACAAGTGTATTAGAAACTAGTGTAATATAACTCAAAAGGTAATATACGGAATAATAGAATGGGACAATAGGTACTCAATATCTATTACCTACTGATTTTTAAATAAAATTATTTTGGTGCATTTATGTCACACATTCTTGCCTGCCATTGAAAGTGAATCCGCATTTCATAAGCCAGATCTTAAGACGTTTTGGATCTTTAGGAAATCTAATTAAAATGTATTTAATTACATCATAATATTTATTGTGCATTGTTTAAAACTAAAAACACTAGATTTACCCAAATAAAGATAATCCTGGATTTTTATAAACAGACCGTAGACATAAAACACACGCATTTTTAGTTGGCATTATAATAATGTTATTAATTAAATATTTGTTTGTTCAAATGGTTTATTATTTATAGGTTTATAAATATAAAGACATTAACAAATATAAATTAATAAGCATTTGTAATTTTGTGTAATAACAATGTTTTGGAAATTCAGATTACCTAAAGTCAATTTTAAGCAGGAAAACAGATTGATATATTATGATAAGCAGTCTCACATGCGCAGATGTCACAGGTCCTATAGTAATATTGGCATCAACTCATTTTATACGCGTAGTATGCTATGACTCCGTCCATTGTATATGATCTAAGGTTTAATCACATTTTTGAATAGGTATACGAATAGGTATCATAATAGTCAATAGATATCAGAAGAGATTTACAAATTTTGAAAGGTTTTAAAGTATAACACTACTAGCTTTACAATACTTACTATCCTAAAAAAAATATTTTGTATTTAACTTTTAAGCCGGCTGCCAATTGTCCGCACGTGTCGTATTTTTGCGGGGACCAATTGTCCTAAATCCACTTTTTATACCAGAAGAAATGTTTTAATCTTCAATAATGAAAGTTTAATTTAATAAGTTTTTTTTTTATTTCAGTGAAAATGATTATTGTCAAAATCTAGTTTCTAAATCAAAACAATGGAATATAAATGGTGAGTATATTTATTGAATTTTATATAAATTAATATTAAATAGTTTGTTAATGTTTAAGAATAGTTTTATTGTAGGATACTATTATAGTTTGCAATATATTATATATGTATATATATATATACTAACTGACCCCGTGCACTTTGTTGCCCGTTAAAAATGCCAACTTTTTATGATTCAAACTTTGTTTAATTTGTTATTTAATATTCGGTGTAATGGTGTTCATAACTTAAAAATTTTCATCGACCATCTCGAATCTCAAAATACTTGTATTTACAGAAGCACCACTTTAAAAGCAAATTTTGGGAAATGCTTTCTTAGTGTATACTTACATGGTGGTACGAAGGTACTGTGAAAATAGCAAGCTTCAAGCTATCATTGTTTAGGCTCTATACGCTGATCAGCCAGTGAGTCATTCAGGAAATGTTTATTAATATTATACATATTATAGTGTAGCCATCCTGCCCAGCACAGCGTTGCTAGTGAGACTCGCTTGTGATTATGCGAGCAGTATATTATCAGGTAGGCGATCCACTTGTGGTGAATTGTAGACTTCGCAAGGTGCATACGTAATTGTATAATTTCTAACTCTAAATTTGAGTTTGCTGGACAAATGGCACCACTTTTATATTCCAACAACCCTTTATTATCTCTTTTAGGGGTTGAATTTTGTGAAACCCGTTCTTAGCAGGCATTTCCTATGCATATACTACATTACTACCTATCTACAAAAAGTCAGTTTCATAAGTCATGTAGTTTTTGAGATTTCATGTTAAATTGAAAATACCACTTTTTTTATATTATGTAGATAAATGTAATTATATTTTGTAATAATGTATTTGTTTTAGATGATAGCAGTTCTGATTCAGACGAAAATATTGAAGACTATGATTTACGTTTTGCAAGATATAAAGAACGTGTGAAAGCGGAAGAACATTTTTTTTATAATAGTATAGATGAAAGTTCTGGTAGTACAAATGATTCAGATGATTAGATTCTGTAAGATAAATATTTATGAATGTAGTTCAGTTGTGTTCACAAGATTTAATTTTAATGATTTTTATAACAGTTCTATAATTTTTATTTTCATAATCTAAATTAAAAAAAAAAAAATGAATAATACATTTTTTTATTGTCTTAAATTTGTATATTAGTAGTTACTAATTTCCCTGAATTAAGTGTAATATTCAAAATAAACAAATACAATATGGAACTGTGCTTATTTAATTAATTTTGGACGTTCAAATGTAAACCAACTTATCGGTTATATATTATTTGATCCGTTGTGGATTTTAGATTTATAATTTATAATACAATGAATTTTTATTTTCTGACATATTATTAAAACATCAACCTTCAGTATTCAGTTTAAACTTTCTTTGTAAGAAATTAGTTTATAAAGATTCATTTATTTATTCATATGAACTCATGAACTTAATAAAGCATGCATTGATAAAATATTTTGTAATTAACCAATGTTAATACAAATCTTAGATGTTTAAGAGCTTCAATGAATTTCCGACTAGAATAAGGAACAATAATGGTATAATGTTGCCTTCCAAGATTTTATATGTGGTTACAAAATAAAAATGAAGACGCACTAATTTATATCTATATATATATAAATTAATGTCAGAATTTCTGTGTGTGTGTATGTGTCTCTATGTCCATATTACCATGGCAAACATATACAGTATGATCACGATATTAGGTACCACTGAATATCTCAGATGGGTGACTTTGTATTGGGTTTTTGGGAGGTGATAGGGAACACTTGAATACATATTTCCAGACCAGTTTCAAATTTTTAGCTCACTCGGTACACGCATGCGCAATATGATTTACTTTTTTTTAAATGGCAACCCCAGTTTTTCCATGCAGATTTGGGTAGAGTATTTTTTTTTAAACATTTATTGAAAAAAAAGTTTTTTTCTATTTTCAAAACTGACCAAGTTAGAGTAAGTCAAAAATTGGATTTATGCATAATATGTGTTTAATGCAATTTTCATTTATAACCACTGGAATTAATAAAATAAGTGCCAAATAAATGTTTAATGGTAGACGGAGTGGCCAAGTGGACTTAGGCATCGTCGGTTGCGACGCACACCGTTGCCGGTTTGAACTCAGCCACGGGCGGCATTTTTCTTCTGGTAGTCACGGTGTCCGGAGAGAGAGGCCGACATGACGGCATCCCCGTCTGGGCATGGCAGATACCTATGTGTGTGTTTGTTTTGGCAGAATTTTTAAGTGGGCACCCGTGTAATGAATAAAAATTACAATAAAACACATTTTCGAAGAATGCAGAATGTTCCCACAACAAAGAGAGGACCTTAATATAAGCCATCAAATTGGAGCAAGTCTAGGGCCTAGGCCCACATCCTGACAAAGAGACCAATACCATTGAATTCTTCAGAACAACCAATCTACTCAACCTAATTTAGTCAACATTTGTAATGTACAAATTAAGTTAACTAATTAAAAACTGTTGTTCTTGTACCTTTTTTTTTTCTCTTTGATCTGTTCACCATTATAAATATTATATACTTATGGTTATAGTGTAATGACTGTAATGCTAATGACCAAGTTGTCGAGGCAGATTTTTTTTTTTAAATTTCGAGACCAATAAAAAAGAAAAATTAAATATGTAAGTCGTCCGTGTCACATGGAGGTTTTTACTGTCAATATCTTCAAAATCGGTACGTATCTAGTCGTCATAATCTACAAATTTTAATTACTTTTGTTTTTCATCGCATATATCATCGAGTAATTAGAGTTGAGTAATTATAATTATTAATTAGTATAATTACACATTTTATAATTATGTCTAAAAAATTAATAATTGCGAGGGACTCTACTGCAGTACAAATAGGTGTAATGAGCATATAATTCTTAGATCCCCCCAGTAATTTCACCAAATCTCCGCTTATGTTGGTCGGCCAGATTGTTTGAGTACCGTAAAACGGGGCGAATAGAAACACTTTTGAACTTTGAAGTATCATAAAAACTTTTCTATTTGGGCTTTATAGATGATCAATAGGTAGGTACATCAAAATACTGGTTTCATCAAGAACTTAAAATTGTTTTTATGTTTAACAAATTATTTAATATATTTTTTAAAGTGCTTTGTGTCTATCCCCTCAAAAGAATATGGTGTGAACAGAAACATTTATGGTTTTTTAGTGTATTCTTATATTTTACCAACTGAAGGGTAGATAGAAACAATCATTGTGATTTTTAAAAATGAAGAGAACAAAATTGTTAATATAGCAAAAAATTTTCCCTGACTTCTGGAAAACCACATATTATGCATTTATGGTCGGTGCTTTTTTAATTTTAAAAAAGTGCCAACAAAAATAGATTTATTTTTTGTTTTTTACAATAAGTCTAATGTTATAGGTACATATAACATAATATTATGTCGCATAGGCTGCATAGTGACTGTATTCTATTTAGGTACCACTAAAGTGACAAAAATCAGTAAAACCACTATAATCTATATATTTAAATGATTTATTTTTTTTTTTTAAATAATACCTATGATTTATAAAACCTAACTATATATAAAAAAGATTATAACAAGAAAAATGAGAATTTTTATAATACTTACATATCAAGAACCATTGATTTCCGTAATAATTTATTAGGATAATTATCAGTTGTTCTTTTTCAATGTTTAGCTGTATGGTAGTGGAAATAAACTGAGCGTTCATCGAATTTCATCCTAATGTGTATTCGGTTTTAGTGAAGGTTTCATATTGATGACACTTATATTTGGTCATGGAAACGTCGAAATAATAACTTTTTCTATTTTGGTATTTCACACCAATTCCTAACCTCCTCAATACTTTGGTTCTTATTTCTGATGAACGAGAATTCGCTAGGTTGCTCGTGGCTTAGGGAATGGAAATTGTGTTGTTTGTATTGCCTAATAGAACCATGTCATCAGCCGTTTCTGAATAGGTGGCCCAAGCTACTAACAACATAAAAAAGAAGAAATAACTAAAAATGAACAACATAATATTATTGTATTAGAAATATTAAATTTTTTTACAAAAATTATTATAGTAGTATTCAAGTCTGGGCAAGTTAATGATTTTTTTTTAACACAGTTAAGTTAAGTTAATATGCAACAATGACAAAAAGTTAATTTAGCTATAGGTTAACTCAGTTAAGTTAAAAGTTAATACACACTTTTTGTTAACTTTTTATTAAGTTAAAAAAAAGTTAATTTGTTTATACAACTCTAGCGTACTTAATTTTTTAATTTTTTCCAACCCAAAACTAAATTATAGACTATAGTGTTCTTACTTTATACAGTATTTCTATATAAATTAGATTGGAATGATATAAATTTTAAACTTTAAACAATTTACGGTAAAAATTTTTTGACATGAAAACGAAATAGACTGAAATAGTAAAATATAATAAAATTAAAAACAAAATAAATTAACTTAACCTACTTCTTAAAATTAAATATTTAGATATTTATGTAGGTAGGTACTATTTATTATCATGTACCTACCTACTTAATATTTTTTTTTTTTTTAAATAATCTATAAACACTAAATAAAAGTATTTTTGTTTTAGGCAGTCGACCTATGGGCTATTACCACTGATTATTGATTAAGACATATTTAATTCATTTCAGTACAAGGACTTAGGGCCGGTTGAATAAATGTTTTATAACTTAGGTCAACGTTTTCGGAAAAAATCAAAACAATTAGGCTTTTGTAAGTCCTCATTGAAAATACTTAAACAATTTACAATTTATTTTTATTTAATTGTGTAGATTTTTTTTCAATTGTATCTAGTATTCAGTATTTGACAATTACTCATTAAAATCCAATGTATTTTGTTTTTTAACTAAATATTTTTAAGACTTTTTTACTTTTTGAAAGTATTTTGCCAATTCCTGACTTTCACTCTTTTGTTATTGTTTATGTTGTACAATGCACGAGCGTGTATAAAAACATCTATCGATATTTCTTGAAAAGAATTTCACATACCTACTCGCTTCACGTTTATTGGGTCTGTACTCTGTACAAACTATATAACGGTGTATCGGTGTACATAGCCATATTAGTTATTTTAGTTATAAGTGATGAATAAAAAAAAAAAATAATAATATCAATATTAAACTATACATTTTTCTTTATTAATCTAAAACATAAATAACATAATAATTAATAACTATAATCTAAACATTTTTTTCTACCGGACGATTCGGGCCAACACAAACTCTGGTTTTGGACACAGGGAATGTCCGACTACAGACATACTGCACTGAGGACGACGAGAGGACATTTTTCGGCGGACTGTCGGACCAGAACACCTGGCGGCCACCGAGCCACCCACTTGGGGTTCTCGTTGGGCCGCGACAACGGCGCGAGGTGTACTACAACAAGCGGCCGACCCAAGCCGGCAGTTATCTGGAGAGGAGAATGCTGTGGTGCTCGACGGCGATTTCTATGGAATGCAGCGGCGGCAGCAGCCTGCACGGGATCGGGAAGCAGCAAGTGATGGAGGACGAGTCTGGAAATCAGCCTTTGCCGGAGGACCACCACCTCGGAAATGCTGCCCACGTCCGCGAAACCTGCCCAAGTGTTCGTTCCGGGTGGTTCGGACTAGATAGCTTCCGGCTGCAGATCGAGGTGAGGCCGGTGCTTGCCAGACCCGGTGACAGTGAAATGAGGAGGAGGAGGAACTTTCGGAGGTGACGGTGAAACTGATAAAAGGGTAAGATGGTTGATGGCGATGGCAGGTATGCTGAAATTGTAATTTTACGAAAATTATTAACAATTTTGACGATTTTTCGACATATTGTTATTATTTTAAATTGTGACTATAGATTTTTAATTTTTTTCATCTGCCTTTGAAACAATATAATAGGAGCCTTCTATTAAACATTTTCAAGCTTTTTTAACCAACATATAAAAATCTGCTGATATTTATAGAAAAAAAAACTAAAAAAATGTAAACTGAAAAAGTCCGTAA